CCAGTCTCAGGGTGCACGGGCAGTCTCAGGGTGCACGGGCAGTGTCAGGGTGCCAGGCAGTGTCAGGGTGCCTAGGCTGTGTCAGGGTACATAGGCAGTGTCAGGGTGCACCGGCAGTGTCGGGGTGCACCGGCAGTGTCGGGGTGCCAGGCAGTGTTGGGGTGCCAGGCAGTGTCGGGGTGCACAGGGTTAGGGTTAGGGTGCCAGGCAGTGTCAGGGTGCACGGGCAGTGTCAGGGTGCACAGGCAGTCTCAGGTAACACAGCCAGTCTCAGGGTGCACGGGCAGTCTCAGGGTGCCAGGCAGTGTCAGGGTGCCAGGCAGTGTCAGGGTGCACCGGCAGTGTCGGGGTGCACCGGCAGTGTCGGGGTGCCCCGGCAGTGTCGGGGTGCCAGGCAGTGTCGGGGTGCCAGGCAGTGTCGGGGTGCACAGGGTTAGGGTTAGGGTGCCAGGCAGTGTCAGGGTGCCAGGCAGTGTCAGGGTACACAGCCAGTCTCAGGGTGCCAGGCAGTCTCAGGGTTCCAGGCAGTGTCAGGGTGCCAGGCAGTGTCAGGGTGCACTGGCAGTGTCGGGGTGCCAGGCAGTGTCGGGGTGCACAGGCAGTGTCGGGGTGCCCAGGCAGTGTCAGGGTGCACAAGCAGCGTCAGGGTGCACAGCCTGTCTCAGGGTACACAGGCAGTCTCAGGGTGCCAGGCAGTCTCAGGGTGCACAGGCAGTCTCAGGGTGCCAGGCAGTCTCAGGGTGCACGGGCAGTCTCAGGGTGCCAGCCAGTCTCAGGGTGCCAGCCAGTCTCAGGGTGCACAGGCAGTCTCAGGGTGCACAGGCAGTCTCAGGGTACACAGCCAGTCTCAGGGTGCACAGGCAGTCTCAGGGTGCACAGGCAGTCTCAGGGTACACAGCCAGTCTCAGGGTGCCAGGCAGTGTCAGGGTGCCAGGCAGTGTCAGGGTGCCAGGCAGTGTCGGGGTGCACAGGCAGTCTCAGGGTATACAGGCAGTCTCAGGGTACACAGCCAGTCTCAGGGTGCACGGGCAGTCTCAGGGTACACAGGCAGTCTCAGGGTGCACAGCCAGTCTCAGGGTGCACGGGCAGTCTCAGGGTACACAGCCAGTCTCAGGGTACACAGCCAGTCTCAGGGTGCACAGGCAGTCTCAGGGTGCACAGCCAGTCTCAGGGTGCACGGGCAGTCTCAGGGTACACGGGCAGTCTCAGGGTACACAGCCAGTCTCAGGGTGCACGGGCAGTCTCAGGGTACACAGGCAGTCTCAGGGTACACAGCCAGTCTCAGGGTGCCAGGCAGTCTCAGGGTGCCAGGCAGTGTCAGGGTGCACAGGCAGTGTCAGGGTGCCAGGCAGTGTCAGGGTGCACAGGCAGTCTCAGGGTACACAGGCAGTCTCAGGGTACACAGCCAGTCTCAGGGTGCACGGGCAGTCTCAGGGTACACAGGCAGTCTCAGGGTACACAGCCAGTCTCAGGGTGCCAGGCAGTCTCAGGGTGCCAGGCAGTGTCAGGGTGCACAGGCAGGCTCAGGGTACACAGCCAGTCTCAGGGTGCACAGCCAGTCTCAAGGTGCACAGCCAGTCTCAGGGTGCACGGGCAGTCTCAGGGTGCCAGGCAGTGTCAGGGTGCCAGGCAGTGTCAGGGTGCACGGGCAGTGTCAGGGTGCACGGGCAGTCTCAGGGTGCAGGGGCAATCTCAGGGTGCACAGCCAGTCTCAGGGTGCACAGGCAGTGTCAGGGTGCACAGGCAGTCTCAGGGTGCCAGGCAGTCTCAGGGTGCACAGGCAGTCTCAGGGTGCCAGGCAGTCTCAGGGTGCACAGGCAGTGTCAGGGTGCACAGGCAGTCTCAGGGTGCACAGGCAGTCTCAGGGTGCCAGCCAGTCTCACGATTGAGGGAGGGTCTGGGTTATGCAGGAGGAGGGGTGGGGGTGGGGCACCTCTGGAACCTCACTGCCTGGGTTTCACTCCCATCTCCACAGTGTAGGAAACGTGGTGCCTTGGCCAGTGACCTGTCCCTCAGTTTCCTCATAACGCCAGGGCCACGCAGGCGCCGGCCTTAGAAGTTGCTGTGAGGATTCAATGAATTAATGTGTGCCAAGTTCTTAGGTCAATCAGCCTGGGGCGAGCACAGGGGGGATTGATTGGTGGCAAAGATTATTGTTTGTTGTTTTTTAAGCAATTAAGCAATTGCTTACATTTTTGTTCCTTTAGTTAGGTTCTGTGTTTTTGGGGGACATGGATGGTGGCCTTTATTCCTCTCTGTCTTCCCAGGGACCCAATGTACAACTGATCACCCAAACATTTGGAAACTCATTTAAAGGTAGTGAGGCATCTTTGACTCCTCCCCTGCTCCTCGCCCCCCGAAATCCATTCAGTTCCCAAGTCCCACAGATTCTACCTCCCTAACCTCTCCGGTCCCTATTCCCGCTGCTTTGTCCACCTGTCATCTTTGTCCCGGAGCCCCGTGGCACCCTGCTAATGTCTCCCTGCTGCTGGACTGAAACTCTCCACCCTGAAGTCAGAGAGACCGTCCTTCTGCGGTGATCTGACAGCGCCACTCTCCCGCTTAACACCCTTCAGTGATCCCTGTCACCTTGGGACAGAGGCCACAACTTCCCCTTAGCACATAAGCCAGGCCCTCCCGCTGTCCTCTCCAGCCCCCTGTCCAGAGGCCTCCGTACCCCACCGCAGCTCCGCCAGCCTCCCTCGGCCTCTTGCAGTCCTGCCTCTGTGGCCATGCACTGGGCTCCACACCCATTGCCTCCTTTGCCGCCTCCGCCTGCGGCCCCCCCAGCCCCCCCCAGCGCAGGTGGTGCTGACCCTCCGCCTGCGGCCCCCCCCCAGCGCAGGTGGTGCTGACCCTCCGCCTGCGGGCCCCCCCCCCCCCCAGCGCAGGTGGTGCTGACGCCAGTAGGCCCTCCTGGTCCCCCTCCAGGTTTCCAAGATGCCCCTCCTCTGGGCTGCAGAGCACTTCGAGTTTATAAAGCTCATATCCATTCACTCCACAAATATTAACTTCTGAGGGCTTTGCTGCGGGGGATACAGCAAAGCAACGGAGAGTCCCTGCCCCAGGAAGCCTGCCTGTCCTGCTCTACTGGCGGGATGCTGGAGGGCGGGCCTGCCTCCGGTGGAGGTGAGCTCCTGGGTTCTCTGACTCCGCCTTCAGCACCACGCACGGAGCCCTCAGTAAACGTGTGTTGGATACCGGGTGCCTTTCAGGCACTATCTTGGTGCTGGGAAGCACCAGTGCAGACGACAGGGAGGAAATACAATCTGGGGGAAGTGAGAGTGAGTGGATTTATGGTTAGGGGCACAGGCCAGCTGGTGTGACCTTGCACAGCTCCTTACCCTCTCTGTGCTTCAGCTTCCCCATCTGAAAAATGGGCTGATGATACTAAGTACCTCACAGTGCTGTCAGGAAGGCTGAAGTGTTACTATTTGTCCAACACTTAGAACAATGCCTGAGTGCTTTTAAAAAAAATTCTTACCCGAGGATATTTTTCCATTTATCTTCGGATAGAGTGGAGGGAGAGAGAAAGAGAAACATGGATGTGAGAGAGACATATCGATTGGTTGCCTCCTGCACGACCCCAACCAGGGCTGGGGATGAACCGCAACTGAGGTATGTGCCCTTGACCAGAATCAAACCCGAGACTCTTTGGTTGGCAGGTCGACGCTCTAACTACTGAGCCAAACTGGTCAGGGCAGTAAGTGCTTTACATATTAATATTCATTAAACAAATGAAAAGCAATGATAGACTCTGAGCCCAGGGAATCCTGGATTCAGATCCTGCCTCTGCCAGGTCCTAACCATGTGTAATCCTGGGAAAGTCGTGGAACCAGACTGAGCCTGAGTTTCCTTGTTTGTGAGCTGGAGATACTAATAATACTTCTTTTGCTGAGATGCCATCTTCTGAGATTCTAGGAGCCCACACACATAACATGCCCAGCACAGGACTGGCACTGGGTAAAGACTTTGAAACACAGCTCTTCAAATGAAGCAAACGCAAGATCCTGCCCTTGAGGAATTCATGGTCCCCTAGGGAGATCGAAAACATCCACCTGTGTTCACTGCTCAGGTGCTGCCTCCTCCAGGAAGTCGCCTAGCATGCCATGGCTCCTCCCTCTTTGAACTGCCAGAGACACTTGTGCCCTGTGCCTCTAGCAGGCTTTAATTTAAATTCCAACTCCTGAAACCGACTGACTGTGTGGCATTGGACCGTCCCTTCCCTTCTCTGAGTCTTAGTTTTTTTGATCTGTGAGAGGAGATAAATCACCTTCAGTAGAATATCACCGTGGGAATCAAATTGAGAGACCATGTCTGCAAAGCCCCAAAATGTGCCTGACAGTTTGTAGACCCTCCCTAAATGCCAACCCCCGGCCAGTTCACTGAGCCTGATCCCACTCCCCAGAGGGCTGGCGAAGGGTCAGTGACGAACGAAGGCAGGGATGAGTCCGGGTGAAGCCAGGAGTGCCTGCTCAGACACTCCTGGGTCTGCTCAGACATGTGTTCGCCCTTTACTCTGTCCACTCCCTCCTCCGCTCACCTCCCACTTTGGGGTCGTTGCACAAACAAGACCGAAGTTCCCTTCTTTCCCTCCCTCCTCCTTTCAGGGCTGCTCCTCCTGCCCCCACACCGGCCCAGGGGTGGACCAGAGTCTGAGGCTACCGCCCAAGGACATTTCTTCGTGGGGTACTTTCAGAAGTCGGCGTGACCCCCACTGGGCTGTGGATCCCGTGGGAGCAAGGACCGCGCAGTTTTGCGGCCCCAGGGCTTAGCCCTGTGCCTGTCATAGAACCACAGATCGGGCTGCTTGCTGGAGAATGCTTGCACTCGGAGTCGGGGAAACCGAGCCCCTTGGTTGGTATGCATCCACACCAGCCCCTTCCTGTCTGCCGCCCAGCTCCTGTCCCCTGTCCCCGTGCCCTCTCCCCAGGGCCCGCTCCCCTGTCCCTGAGCACTGCAGGGTGAGGCCTGCTCTAAGTGGCGGCAGAGGGGCATACCTCAGTCACAATGGAGTCGCTGGTGCTGATGTAGACCCAGCCATCCAGGCATGGCTCGGTGGCCCCCCGGGTGGCGTTGGGCAGGCTGGTGTTGGGTGGATGTACAAAACGCAGGCACGTCTCAGGCTTCCCATTGGAGCCGGTGGGGAGCATCCAGGGCCCTGCGGAGGCGTTGGGGGGTGGGCGGCAGTGGTGGGCGGGGGTGGCGGCTGTGAAGATCTGCAGCAGGTTGTGGCTGGCCATGCTGAGGATCGGGAGGCCTAGCAGGACCACGATGAGCCACTGGAAGGGGCCCTTGCTGTTCACGCTGTCCACGAGCTTGGAGAAGGTCATGGCGCCGAGCAAGGAAAGCCAGAGCTGCGGGCAAGGCACCAGGCAGGGAGAGGGGTGTGTGTGAGGTGTGGGCACGTGGACGGGTGTGGGAGTGCAAGTGGGAGGGCGTGCCCAGAAGGGCGTGAGTGCAGGTGTGTGCCTGGATGTGACAGTGGGAAGGACGGGCCCTCAGCTCTGTGTATCCACAGACTCACGAGTGGCTGCATGAGGATGTGCCCAGTTGCATGTAGAGACGTGGAGTCACAGGTGTGTGTCCACAGGGGGTCTACAGGGATGTGTATATTTAGGCTGGAGCTTCAGGGTACAGCTGTGTGAGCTTGGGCGTGTGGTTGTGTGTGTACGTGTGTGGATTTGGGGGTGCGGCTGTGTGTGTGCTCAGCCAGGCCAGTCACATGTGCTGTATGCATGGGGAGTGCAGGTCACACAGCTGGGACCAGAGGGTGGGTGGGGGTGGGTTAGGTCCCTGGTTGCTCCCAGCAGACATACAGGGTTACCTTAGCTTGCCTATTGGGAGAGGCCTCCCCAAGCCCAGAGCCTCCTAGCTGTTGGCTGTCCCCTGGGGTTAGCTCACTGTACTGAGGTAGCAGAAAGGGCCCAGGCAGGTCCCAGAGGACAGGCGCAGTGAGGAAGCAGGGCCTAGCCTTGGGAGTTTCCCAGGGATTCCTGGGGGCCAGGCCTGGAGGCCTCTGTCCCTCCTCACCTGGTGGCTGGGCCTGGCTCCCTCCGGTGGGCTGGTGGTCAGAGTGGCTGGAGCCCTTGCTCTGTCCTAGGGTCCAGCGGCTGTTCGAGTTGGACGGCTCAGCTCCAATAGCTGAGCTGGAGCCTGCCCCAGGGGGCTTATATAAGGCATAAGCTGTTTCCTGAGCTAATGTTTGACTTTCTTTTGAGGATTAAGGCCCCCAGTGGGGAGAGTCATGGACCTGTCAAGCCTCGCTTTCCTCAAACGGCTGCCTCAGCAAAGGCTGGGCTGAGGTGTGGATGGGCCTCGCTGGGATGCTGGCTGCTCCCTGGTCCAGGTGGGCTCACCTAGGAAGGGGGAGCCTGGGAGGGGGACTGACTAGGTCCTGTGGGCAGGGCCCAGCGTCATCTCTGAGCTGATGTTCTAAGGACTCAGAGCTGAGCCCTGGCCGGTTTGGCTCAGTGGTTACAGCGTCGGCCTGCAGACCAAAGAGTTGTGGGTTCAATTCCAGTCAAGGGCACGCACCTCGGTTGAGGTTTGGTCCTCAGCCCTGGTCAGGGTCGTGAGGGAGGCGCCAACTGATGTGTCTCTCTGACACATTGATGTTTTTTCTCTCTCTGTGTCCCTCACACTATCTGAAAATGAATGGAAAAATATCCTCGGGTGAGGATTTAAAAAAAATATATATATGTAAGAACTTAGAGCTGAGACTAGCCAGAGAAAGGTGCTGCTGCCGGTGAGCGGACCACAGTCTCAGGGCACTGACTTCCCCTGCCTGGGGCTCTGGACAAGGTGTCTGGTGACTGGTCGGGCATGTCCAGGAAAGAATTGTCACTTGCACCTGTCCCCAAGGGCTCAGGGCTGTCATCCCCTGGGCCCCTGGGGCAGTCAGGGTTCCCCTGTCTGAGTCTCAGACCCAACAGACTCAGACCAACACCTGCCCTCCGGCCCACTGTCAATGGCCCCTCCTCTGACCGACTGCTTCCCTTTGGGAATAAATCTCAGACTCTGTTGTTTTGCTTTCCCCCCTCTGAATGTTATTTTAATTATATAATAACATGCTTCATGCATAAACTATGGGAAACACAAACAAGCTAAACCAAAAAACAGGAAACAAAACTCCAGTCTCACTCAGAGCTAGCTCGGGGAGTGTTCCGATGTATGTTCTTCCAGCCCTTCCCATGTCACAGACTGCGGTCTGAGCCCCGTGCTCCAGCAACAAACATGAGGCTCGTTGGACCTCACGGCAGCCCCGTTACTAGTCTACCATGATAAATTAGGAATGAGGCACAGAGAGGTTCAGTGAGTGGCCCGCAGTCCCCCAGCCAGGGAGGGACAGAGTGGCTGCAGGGCAGCCCTCCGCTCACTCCTGTGCGGTGAACTCAACATTCTCTACACAGTCTGGGGGCCCTGCCCTGTCTCCCCCTCAGCGGTCACCCGGCCTGGCCTTCAACAGCCCTGCCTGACACTGGCTCACCTCTGGCTTCTACCCCCAGCAACCCCTGGGAGCTGCCCCACGCACCTGCTCTGGGGTGAGGGAGGGCCCACCTACGGACTCCCTTCTTGGTTAGGGAGGGGCTTCTCCTTCTCCTGGTCCTTGGTCCTCTTCTCCACCCAGACAGCATTCAGCTCTTGGGGTTCCAGCTGGGTTCCTCCCCGCCAAAGCCTCCTCCCACTTCCCCTCACCCCATCCCTGGGCAGGGTCAGCTGGTCACCCAGGTCCAGCCCCTTCTCTGGCTCCCTACCTGCACCCAGCAGTGATTGATGTTCTCAGAATGGCCCTAGGCAGGGTGAGATCCGGAATCATCACAGGAAGATTAAATTATACTTGAGGCAGCCACGGGGTTGTTTTAGGAAGGTTTTCGACTGTGAGGCTGGCAGGAAGCTGGGCCATTGCCCTGAGCCCCCCGTCCGGGCGTTCACCCTCTGTGAGGTTTTCTGCTTCCTAACTGGGCCTAGGTCGTCCGTCTGTCCCTGTGCTAGAGGAATGTGGTTTGAAAGAACCTGGTCGCTTCCCACTGAGGCTGCGGACGTGAGCCAGACAGATGTCCAAACCCCCAACTTAGGGGCAGCCCCCCACCCCCATGGAGGTGCTTGGACTCATGATGTCTGAACTGAGTCATTCTGTCAACCTGGCCCATGGGGACAGTGTCCATGCACCTGTTGTATGACCTTGGGCAAATCACCTCCTCTGGGTCTCTTGTTTCTCTTCATTAGTTAAGGAACTTAAAGAAAAAACCCACCAGAAATCTTATATTCAAACAATATATTGGGTTCATAAGATCAACATATAAAACAGTTATCAGAGGAGGTGGTCTGGCTAAAGTGGGGGAGGGGTGCAGAGAACGTGGCCCCGAAGACCCCCAGCTCCTCTTCCCTTTGTTGTGTTCCTCCCCAGGCCCTCCCTGCTGCGGCATCTCCATGATATTAGAGGATCCATCACCTCCTCCATGCTGCGAGCTCAAACTCAGTATGGTGAAATTAACTTTCTCAAGAAATGATGCATTTGGGAAATCTTATGTGCTAAATGCATTTTTTAGATTTATCTTTATCATTGAAAGTATTACATATATCCCTCCCCCTTCCCCCCCACCGACCCTCTCCTCGGGCTCCTGCCGCGCCCCCTGCCTTCACCACACGATTTCTGTGTCCACTGATTAAGCATGTATTCATATAAGTTCTTTGGCAATGGATTTTTTCTCTCTCCCTCCCTCCTTTTCTTCTGCCACCTTCCTTTCTTTCTTCCTTTCCCTTTTGTCTAAACTCTTCCAGAGTTTTCTTTAAGCTGAACTGGGTTCAGTCATTTCTCGTCTAGGTCCCAGCACAGATATGTGTTTTGAGCTGAAGGGCCCAAGGAGTCATTCAGTCCAATATCCCCATTTTACATACAAAGAGACTGGAGTCCAGTGAGGGAAGGAACACAGATCTGACCCCCGGCTTCCTTTGCACCTGCACACGGTGCCATCTTTCTAAACCTTAAATTCACCGAGGGGCTGTGACAAATGAAGCCGGGACATCTTATTCCCTAGGAGCAGTGGGGGGTCTGAATGTTCTGGCCAATTACAGGGACCACACTGAACTTTCTGTGGGCCATTCACCCTCCTACCCACTCATCTGTCCGTCCGTCCATCCATCCATCCATCCATCCATCCATCCATTCATCCAATGAATCTCACGCCTCGTATGTACGAGGACCCACGCTCAGAGCTATGGTGCCCGCCCTACCTTTGGTCTCATCAGAGTAGACAGCAGCCCACAGACAGTTACAGCACAAAGGAGACTGACCTCAGTGCCGCAGGAGAGACCCACGCGGTTCTGGACAAGACTCCAACAACAGAGCCCCCGAGCCAGGGCAGGGTGCTGAAATTCTGAATACAGTATATAAAGCTTTGAACACAGTGTCAAGCACAAAGTACGTAATTTGAGGGTCAACCCTGAGGGAACAGGCCTCAGGAAGGCTGAGCTGTCCCAGAAGAAAAGGAAGAGACGGCTGCTGGGAGGAGGGAGGACAGGAGGGGTCCGTCCGGCTCCTGGGTCAGAGGCTAGAAAAGCTTTGAGGAGGATGGGTGGGCTCTTGAGGCTGCCCTTGGGCGCGGGGAGTATGTCCAGGCCCAGCCAATCACCGCCGAACCCATCATGTTGCCGGATAGGTTGACCTCAGGTGTCAGACCAAGTGGAAAAGGAACACAAGGACCGTTCTGGGACCCAGGACGACTGAGGGACTGCGCTCTAGCAACTGGGGCCCCGCAGCCCCCGGAATGACGCTCCCACGCAGCTCTGAAGGGCTGGTAGGGAGAGTCGCCCCCTGCTGGTGCACATCAGGAACTGGATCTCTTTGTTGGTGTCCACCCACCACCTGAGTCAGCGCAGCCAACGCATTTCCGTGATGGGGACCCCGCACACTGGACAACCGTCAGCAGTGCAGTCTGACTCTCCTCGCTGCAGGCTGATGGGACAGATGCCACTGTCCTCATGTCCCCGGCATGGCTTTCTGCTCATCAAATGTCTTAGACCAGGGTTCGCCGACTCAAATGTTCACGGGGCAGGTGATGTGAAAGAGTGGGGTGCGCTAGGTGTGGGCAACAGAGAGTGGTCCGGTCGGCGGAGCAACGCGGGGCGCATGTCCAGTCTGCAGGGGGCAGCGGCAGCTCAGCACCAGCTGGTGTTGCCATGGGGATATGCAGGCTCGGGGTTGCCAGATCTTCAGATATTTTAAAAATAGCGTGAAATCTGGACTCTGTAAAATTTCCTAGTTGTGTAGGCGACCCCTCCTCCCACCTTCTGGAATCCCTTTGTCTTTTCTGCTTCTCCCTGCTCTGGGAGCCGCGAACGCCATGAAGCGTTTCCTTGTAGACGAAGGCAGGACTGCTTGGGCTCGATCCCGCCCTGCCTCCTTGCTGGACCTCAGGACTGGTGAGCAGGGACTTCAGGAGTTTGTTCACCCGGCAAACCTTTACCCAGCACCTGCTGTGGGCTGGGCCTTGCGCAGAAGGTGTTGAGGATGGGAGGAGATGAAGACACAGAGCATTGCTTGGGGGGTTCACCCACCTTCAAGGGAGAGTGGAAGGGGCGCATTCATGGAGCTGGGTCCACGTGTCAGGCGCTCTTAGGACACGGTCCCAGGTGCTTCCCCATTGAGTCACGTCAGCCACGTGGTTCCCTCTGCCTCCATCCATGGTGGGGTGGACAGATTTGGACCATGTTGAGCTCTTTCTCTTTTGGCATCTTTACGTTCACTATTCCTAAGGCCAGCTCCTTCTCCGGTCCTCAGATGTCACCTCCTCAGAGAAGTCTTCCGGGATCAGGCGAGTCAGGGTGGCTCCATCCCCCTCCACTCTAGTAAGGCCTTCTCTACCCAGCTTTGTGTCCTTCGCAGCGCTTGTCACTGTCTGACACTGTGGCCTTGCTCATTGTCTATCACCCCTGCTCCGAATGTCACAGTCGCTGCTGCTGGACCTGTTTCCTCACTTGCAAAACGGGCACCATGATAATGGTCCTAACCTTATGAACTGTGAGGAGGGCAGGTGCATGTCGCCCTCTGAGGTGG